TTAATTCCCAAATTATATCTGGGCTCCACACACCAGCGATTCCTTTTCATACGGGCGGGAAAGACAGGACCAGAGACCATGACAATCACAAGACTGGGAACGTAAGTATAAAAGAAACCATATCCCAGCAGGCAAATTGTTTTAATGTGTTTCAAGAATTGAACACTCTGCATGGAATTAAAAATCAAGGGGGTGGGGAGAAGCAACGTGCAGAAAATTAATTAGAAAGAGGTAAGATGCAGAAAAGCTTTGCATGTTATAAAATTACAAATCCAAACGCTACAAATGAAAAAGCATGCACAGTCGTAGATTTCAGTAGCATCAGTACCCAGAACACACTCAGTGAAGTACTTCACCACCGGCTAGCTCTCTGGTTTCGAAAGGGGGCTGGTGGCTGACGGCGGACCTCGATCTATCCAAGCACTGTGACATCCTGACATTACAAGCAACCTGTCAAGGCGGTGGCAGGTAACTCCGAAAAGGTGGGATTTTTTTTCTCCAAGACAGCAGACATGGAAGGGTGTATCCCCTCTGCCCCTCCACCACCAACACACATACATCCATTCAACCCTCGCAGCTAAGGCAACAAGGACAATGTCTTAAGATGCTCCCAAACACCCTCATGTAAAAAACAAAGAAATGAACAACATCTAAAGCTAAGGACAGAGATTCTTATAAAATGTGAGGATGGTTCGCTGCCTCAGCTCTTGCAGATTTCATGATAAGATTTCTTTAAAAGAAAGCATGGGCACGGGAGGAGTCCAGGCCCCGGCTGTCCATCTGATTGGGAATGACCCATACGAGAAAGGTGACATGTGGACCAGTCCTTGGGCATCCCTCCAACACTGCACACATCACTGAGGTAGGAGCTTTGGGAGGAAGGCAGTTCACTTCCCGGAGTGAAGGAGACCTCTCGGCAAATTAGCCGGGGGCCTGAGACAGTCATCCTCCCGGCCGTGTGTGACCTCACAGAATCCTGGAGTTGGACTGGGTAGACCTCCGAGAAGGGCAGGCTCTGAGACAAAGCCCTGAGGGGCGTCCTGGCGCTGACCACAGGACATTGGTTGTCCGGCACAGATCAAGGGGCTGGGAGAGGAGGTGGGAAACCCCCGTGCTGCTGACATTCTACAAAATGGTTATTAGCAAATTGTATCAAAAAGTATCAAAACGTTTCAAAAAACTCTAAAAACTCCAGGCTCAGTAGATGCACAGGGCAGGACCTCCAAGGGTCTGTCCTGGAGGCCAGGGTGCCACCCCTCCCCTCCCCTCCCTCTGGGGCACTCAGAATCACGGACACCAGGAGGTCCAACCACAGTGGCCGCTGTCCCTGTCGGCTTGGAACCTGTGGGCTGAGGTTCCAGCCATAAGCTCTGAGCCACACGGCTGTGAGGTGCTGCCACACCATGGGGACAAGGGTACAGGATGAAGGTGTGTGACCTTATGGGGGAGAGGGCATAGGGTCACTCAGGGCTTAGGGGCCAAGAGGCTTGGAACCACAGGTGATCACACCTGAATTCAGAGTAGGACCCCAGACCTCGGGGGGGGGGCGCCACTTCCCCTTGGTCTTTGAGTGCCCACCCCCAAAACTGAACACCCCATGGGGTCCGCTTCTGTCTCCACTAAGTCACTGCGAGGTCACCTGATTATGAGGGGGCAGAGGAGGGTCATCCAATATAAATATGCATGTGGTTCTGCCTAGATCTGGGTCTGGAAGTCCTACCTGGTAGCCTTCCTAAAATGGCAGGACGCTCCCAATGCCAATTGAGAGCCAAGTCCAGGCACGGCCACCCACGGCCATTTTCAACAGCAGGAAGAGCCTGAGGTAACACGGACTACCCAGCCTCCCCACCCCCCGTTCTTAACACATTCGTGTCTTAAGCAGACAGCGTCCAGTTTGGTGAGGACCAAACCACAGACTTGCAACTAACAGGTCGTGAAAATTCTACTTGTAAAAAGCGAGAAAAATCCAGCCAGGTGTGGTGGCTCACGCCTGTAATCCCAGCACTCTGGGAGGCTGAGGCAGGAGGATTGCTTGAGCCCAGACATTGGAGAAGAGTCTGGGCAACATAGCAAGAGCTTGTCTCTACCAAAAAAAAAAAAAAATT